GAATAATAACAACAAAAGTATCAATACTAATTGTCAATACAATCCCACTATTGTCTTTTAAGGAAAGATGACAAATTAATCAAGCAAGAAAACGAAAACAAAATCAATTTAAACAGCCAATTGAATATGGAACAAATGTAGAAAGAATTACCAGAGAATCACCAATCTGGAGATGAGTTTTCTTAGCCCAGTTGTTGAATTCATCAACCGACGATGGAACTTTCCATTAATCGTTTTCACCACCAACCACAAAGTCTCTTGATTCAGAAAGAGTGAAAAAATAAAAAATATACACTAGTGACAAGCATAAGATAGTGGTTTTCGATGAAGCCATTTTCAGCCAATATAGATTCAATTGTAAAGAAATCCTCGGAGACCTTATCATGGACTTTCACTGCCATGAGCTGCTTTCTTATACTTCGGCAAAAAAATATTATTGCAACTCGAACTACAACATTCACAATATTTATAAATTTATTTACATCACAAATCTTCATAAAATTCCTTTCTCACTCTCTTTTGTTCCCCAAAGATGAGGAAACACGTGTAGTATTGATCTAATGAACTGGTTCTTTATCCTAATGCGTTAGTATATCTTCTAGGAAATCTTTGCTGTGATTATAGAAAATAAATTACACGTAGTCTGACATGCAATCGTACACACATGAATGAGACAGATGCAACATGCGTGCCTATAGTAGAAATGTCGCATTATATCCTAGCCTCTACAGAGATTAATGAAAATATATCAAAAATTAAACCACGTTAACTAAAGGCATCGTAACAAAAAAGGTACAATAATAGTAATCACAATAATTTAAACTAAAATATTTAATTTTGTTAATACAAAGGCTCAACCACAACAATTAAGCAATATTATATATTTAGGAGAATCACATGCAGCTTGTTTGCGTGCATGCACTTGCACGAAAGGAAGCACTATTTTTTCTTTTCTTTTCTTTTTTTTTTTTAACTACCATTTACAAGGATGTTCCCAAAAGGCCGATATTTTTCCCTT